TGGTATCTGGTCGAGAAAGGGTGATGATTGATTTATGTCGATTAGATAAAATATGATTTATTAATAGCTTTTTCCCCGTGATACAAAAAGCTGCTATAAATTGGAATAATTTTTTGTAAGATTTGTTTGATGGAGTAATAATGACTTTGATTATAGCTGTGCACTGACAGCAGCTGAAGTATTATGATTTGGCATCGAAATAAAAAGTCGTTATACACATAATCTATACGAAGTCTTCGGTATCTATCTGAAAGAACAGCGAAAAGTTGGATGATATTCAACAGTCTGATTTAACTTTAACTTCGCCTAAAGATATAGTAAAAATATTAATTTTTTATTTAACGTCGCTTTATAAAAATAGAAGGTTTATATGTAACGATATTTCCATACTAGCTGTTACTTATAATACAATAGAACTGATGTGCGTACAAGTATACTATATATACATACATAAATAATTATAATCAAAATGGTATGCTGAACACGAAGTAAGTACATTAATACGGTTCGACTTCAAAGAAAATCAACTTCAATCTTGCAAAAACACCCATACGTTCTTACTAATCGCAGAAAGAGAGAAACGAAACCCATCATTTTATGTTAAAAATATTTACCTAGGACTTGAAGTGCCTTTATCTTGCCATTCCATCGCGTTAACATGTCAGAACGTCACGGCGTCTTACATGCTACTTAGCGCTTTAATTACATCTACAATTCTTATTACCACATCATTTTCTATTTCTCCTCGTTATTCTTTTTTGCTCGTCTCGCGCTCCACCGACAGCTAAACGGAACATCCGGCGCGCGTCGTCGTCTGCAGCTCCTCGATTAGCAAAAGCTCGCGAATTACGTATTTCTTCCACGTTTACCGTTAACTCCCATATTCTTCCTCTCGATCGACTCGACTCACGCCTTCGCTTTTAGCCGAATGGAAAATCGCGGCTTCCAACTCGGCCAACTATTCCGTGGTATCTAAAATCTTTATCACGACGAGATTTCACGCGCAATGAGGCGCGCTCCGTTACGCTTTGCATTTCCGATTATCACACTCGCATCTCTCTCAGCGTTCTCCGCTTTATACTCTCGCCGCGTGTTTCTCCTCGGCATAAACTTATTTTATCCGCTACAGCAGTATATTTTCTTCTTTCTCGTTCTTAGAAATTCTACTTTTCTATTTTTTCCTTTTTACCTGTTCGTCCAACATTCGACAAAGTTTGCTCGCGAAGATATTCAATCTTCTTCCTCGTTAGACATCGATGAAAAAACAGCTTTACCATGAAGCAGCTTTCTCACGAAGATCTTATCCTTTTCCGATACTAGATAACGTTATCTTCTATCTGCAGAGTTTTAATTTTCTTTCTATAGGAGAATGTTACGCGTGCTTGTTACGCGAGATGCTTCGTAACTGCAGGGTTCGATGAGAAAGCGATTTATGCGAGAAAATGAGATGTAAACACGAATAAGATTTTGTATATAAATTTGTTTTAAAGATAGGAGATTTTGAATGTTTAATAGGTACGTGAGTATTCGAGTGTAACTGTGCTTGACAAATTTCATCGCGATGTGTCATACTCGTGCATCATTTTCGTTCGACGATCGAATGTAAACGTAAAAATGTTTTATCTGCTTGATTTTAACGTAAATATCGTTCATCTCTATTGAGAAATGTTAAAAACGTTTCCGAAATTCTAGAAATTTTCATCTTTTTCGACGTTCTTAACTGATAATGATACGAGTGTACGGAAAACTCAGAAGTATAGCTAGTTCGTTGAAATTCTACAAACACCTCTACAATGTAAACGAGTTCTAAAATACACAGTAGCAGATGTGAACTTTGCTCTACATTTTGTATCATGTTCAACCCCGGGTTCTTTCGGTTCTTCACCGCCGCCGTGAACTTTGCACGAACATTCGCTACGTTCATAAACATAACCATGAAGCAAGCTGGCCCACAGCGAATTACACTCAAGTGCAAACGTACCTAAGCTTGATATATATTCATAAGCTTCGTATATATTCTGACACAGAATCTTGTTAGCATTTTTCCTTGAGTTTTTTTTAGCTACCATAACGATTAACGAATTACTTCTTATTGAATTCCTTACCGAAGTTGAATATATTAAAAGATACAGGAAATAAACAAGTTCACACTGTATGTACGTAATTTTGTGGGGATGAAATGATATTCGAGGCTGTTTCGTTTAAAATCCCATGCATGGCGAAGTAATATCAGAGCAGCTACAGCGAAATAATCATTTTTACAAAAGTTTTATACCTGTCATATTCAAAAAAAGATACGATACCGTGACATATTAGTACATAAAGGTGCCAAAAAAGGGAACCCGAAGAAAGACAAAAATAGATACATTCGAAGTTCTAATATCAACGTTCCTCGTGTCATATATCCATTCTCTGTATATCGTATAGGAACCTTCCTCGTATCCTCACCGCCGCGTTCGTGCAATCAGTACCGACTCACCCTACGAATCCGAGATCTCCCTCGCCTCCTCCTCCAACGCAATTTCACCGAGACGTCTCGTGGGACTCGTATCCGAAACGTAGCGCATAATAAAGGACTCCGCTCGCTGTGTGTCCGTAGCGCCGGACAACGGATGGGTTCTTGTCCCAGCGACCGGTAACGAGACGCCGAAGTAACCAGAGAGTCACGAGGAGCGAGAGCGAGATCGACGAACCGGCGATCGGAGGAAGACCACGAGAGCGTGGAGTCGTATGTATACGCGCTAGCACGCAAAGTCGAGAAGGCGAAAGAGTCTCGGCGCTGGGCACCTCGCGCATGTATACATATATGCGTGCACGTATATATAGATATGCTATACACGCGCGTACATATATAGAAAACCGTAGCCGGAATCATGGTGTACAGGTTGGCGGTGCACGGTGCCGCGAGAGCTCGTGAACCATGAGCATGCATGAGAGGACGGTGGTTGTCGTCGATGATGGTGGTAGTGAGACGACGCGAGTCGGTG